CAAACCCTAGTAGGGTTTAATTAGGAAAATAAGTGGAATCCTAATTACATAATATCTATACAAAAGGAAAAATAAATAAAACCCAAATAGAATAGGATATATTTTACTCGCCAACAGGTTTTGTCTGGCTTCTTGCCTTCCTGTGTGAGTCTTGGTTTGCCTTCAATTGGGTTCTCACCCTCAACACCCAATGGACCCCTGTTGAATACAAAACATACCCTCAAAACCTCCTGCAACAGTATGTCACTTATATCTTTTTATACTTGTACATATATAATTTTAGTATGCTAATCTTGTGTGACATGGAATTAATGCTAATCTTCACCAAATTGATAACATGTTTGATTAATTAATGTTAATAAATATGCTTAATTAGGGTGCCAGAGCTTCCTGCAGTGGACATGTTTGTGGCAACAGCAGATGCAGAGCTAGAGCCACCCATCATCACAGTGAACACAGTGCTCTCTCTTCTTGCTGTAGATTATCCATCTCACAAGCTAGCTTGCTATGTTTCTGATTATGGCTGTTCACCTCTCACCCTCTACTCTCTCACTGAAGCCTCTAAATTTGCTCAGTTTTGGGTACCCTTTTGCAAAAAGTATAATATTCAAGTTAGAGCTCCATTCAGATACTTCTCTGGCAATTCCAAATTGCCAAGTGATAATCCAATTGGGTTTCTACAAGAATGGACCAAAATGAAGGTAGAATTTGGCCTTATGCTTGTTTAAATTTGTATATATCCAAACATAGTGAGCACCAAGCAGAAGACTAAATGTTCAGGATATCTAGCTAAGCTATCCTCATGCTCATGGTACAAATCTTTGTATGTCATCTTTGATTTTGTAGGATGAGTATCAAAAGCTCTGCCAAAAAATTGAAGTTGCTGTCCAAAATTTGGCAACCCTTGATTTTTCTGGAGACTATGTGGATTTTGCTCACATAGACAGAAGAAACCATCCCACCATAATCAAGGTTTCTCTCTCTTTCTCTCTCTCTCTCTCTCTCTCTCTCTCTCTCTCTCTCTCTCTTTATGTTTGAGCGATTGTCTTTTCAATCACTAATTTGGATCAATTTTGCACAGGTAATATGGGAGAACAAAGAAAGGCTTTCTAATGAGCTGCCACAATTACTTTATGTAGCCAGGGAGAAGCGTCCAAATCATTCACACCATTACAAAGCTGGCGCCATGAATGCTTTGGTGAGAATTTCCTTTCAGCCAAAGAAAACCATAGTATTTCATGTTGAATAAATTCTAGCAATGGCATTGGCTATATAAGTTTATCAGAAATACCCTGATTTTATCAAATGACTAATTTTTGAGTTTTATTATGTATAGACCAGGGTCTCTGGGGTGATGACAAATGCTCCATTTATGTTGAACGTCGACTGCGATATGTATGCCAACAATTCAAAGATCGTTCTTTATTCGATGTGCCTATTGCTTGGCTTCAAGCATGAAAAAGAAGGTGCATTTGTTCAGTACCCACAAATTTTCTACGACACTTAGAAAGATGATCCATTTGGAAACCAACTGGTTCTCCCTCTAAAAGTGCGTATATTTACAACCACACACGCACATTATATATGTTTTAATCATTTGCTTGTGCTGTATAATACTCGTTTTTCTTTATCGGATTTTCCTCACTGATTATTCTTATAGAAAGATTTTAACAAGGCCACATTGTAGCACGTCGTAGCCTAGAATTTTGTACCATTGATTAGGATATTACATATTTGTACTACATGCATGCATCTAACTAGCGTATAGAGGCTATATTTTGTAGACAATTTGGCCGGGATTCGCTGGGATACAAGGACCTTTCTATGCAGGGACCGGATGTTTTCACAGACGTAAAGTTATCTATGGTTTATCCTTAGTAGATAGTGAAGGTACCTAAAATTCCTTATCAGTAGCTCTCATTCATCAAAAGAAAAAAAAAATTATCCCTATTTTGAGTACTTTAATTTTGTGGAGAGGTTTCATCTGTATACTTAGATGAATTTTCTAACTTATAAGGAAATCTGACGGATGTGACACTGGATAAAGAAGAGTTGGGAAATTCCATGGAGTTCATCGAATCAGCAACTCATATTTTATCAGAGAAAATTGATCATCCTCGTGACCTTTCCACTGCTGTTGTTGAGGCAGCCAACAAAGTTGCTGGTTCTGCGTACGAGTACAATACATTATGGGGGACAAAGGTTTGACTTTTTTTTTTGTTATTAACAAAGAAAAGAAATTAACTATATGTCCTAGTTAGCTTAAGAGCACTTCCATCCATCTCTTTTTGCCATGGCAAAAGGGGATTTAGGCTCCAAAAACAACCCCCACAAAGGAAAAGTTCCCATGGGAAGAAGTGGGCCCACTAAATTGGGCAAGCCTGAAAGTAAGACTTGTATGAGTTGCTGTCTGGGCAAGCTGATGTCAGCGTGACATTAGCTTAAGTGGTGAGAAAGGTGGGAAAAGAGATTTTTTTTCCTTAAAAAACCTTCGGTGCTTCGAGTACATGAAACAATTATTTCTCTCTCTTGTTGTGACTGATGAAAATGAAAAAGGTTTCTAGGGTTACAATCACACCGTCATCGCTGACGGACTTGAGATTTTGAGCATGTGAGTTTGGTGGACAGTGGTGATCCTAAGACTTTGTCCATGAGGGGGACATAATTGGATTATGTGACATTAGTTGAGTTATGTGGGGGCAAAGAGTACTAACTAACAAGTTACTCATTAGTTGTATAAATTGAGTAGACAATATAATTAATATTGAATGAATCTAGACTATAATATTAGTAAGTAAATACATTTGTTACAATATGACTGTCATACCGAAACATTACTGGTGAGAATGGAATTTGAAGTAATTTTGACATAGTAGGTAGGTTGGGTTTACGGGTCAGTCACGGAAGATATTTCTCCTCAAAAGTGATTCTATGGAAAAATATGTGGCCAGAATCAATCATAAACGAGTCCTAAGTGGCACTCTCTCTTTGAAGTAATTTTGACATAGTTGGGCTGATCCATTTCAGGTAGGCTGGCTTTATGGGTCAGTCACAGAAGATATCCTAACTGGGATGAAGATCCATGCAAGGGGCTGGAAGTCTATCTTATGCATGCCAGACCCACCAGGCTTTATCGGCTCTGCACCCTCATCTTCTCATATTGTGTTGACCCAAAGGAAGAGATGGGTCACAGGCCTCCTAGAAATTTTGTTCAGCAAAAATAGTCCCATCTTTGCTACCCTCTATGCTAAGTTGGAGTTTAGGCAGTGCTTGGCCTACACGAACGGGCTAATTTGGGGCCTAAATTCCATTCCTGATCTATGCTATACTATACTGCCAGCCTACTGTATCGTTACCAACTCACATTTCTTGCCCAAGGTAAAACTAAGTCATCTAGTTCATGTCATTTTAATTTTGTCAAATTATGAAGTACTAATATACTATTTTATAACACAAATCCGTACAATAATGCTAGAGTCACAAAATACTTTCACAACCATTGTTGAAAAATCAATCAAATACTATCACTTCATTTTGTGAATAAAATTTGGTCTCTCGTATTCAAGTTCGGATGCTATTTTTTATGTAGGTCGAAGAACCGGCTCTCATGATCTTCGTTGCTGTGTTTCTAATGAAGATTTTGTACACCCTACATTTTTACCTGGGATTTGGCCTATCAATCAAGCTATGGTGGAACCATGTGAGAATGGGGCCAGAGGGGAAAATACCCCGTTTAACTGCATCGCTATTTGGAGTTGTAGCCGTGGTATTCAAGCTTTTGGGTATATCTGAGGTGGCATTTGAAGTCACACAAAAGGACCAAAATTCCTCTTCAAGTGATGACCAAGAAGATGATGCCAATGCTGGTAGGTTCACCTTTGATGAGTCTCCAATATTTGTGCCGGCCACAACCCTCTTGTTTGTGCACTTCACAGCCCTGACCATGGGCTTGTTTGGGATGCAACCACCGGCTCGTGGTGCGGATGGGGCGGGGCTAGGTGAGATGATGTGCTGTGTTTGGGTGGTGCTATGTTTTTGGCCATTTCTCAAAGGGTTGTTTGGGAAGGGCAAATATGGAATTCCAATGCCTACTATATTCAAATAAGCTGCCTTGGCCTTGCTTTTCATGCACTTCTGTGGAAGGATCCCACTGCCTCTGCGCTGATGGATTACAATTATTCCTCTTGATGGGCTAAATGATAAATTTTCCCCTTATTATATTTTGTCCTGCATGTATTGTATTTGGATAATTATAAGATTAACATGAATAGTAGAATGTAACATCAACCCCTTTCTCTCAAATTTTAATACCTCTACATATACAATACAAATAACAAATACAAAACACAGTGGACGTAGCTCAATTTTATGAGTGAACTACTTTATTTCTTTGTGTTACGTGTGCGGTTGCATTGATATTTACTGCTTTTCAATTTCAACCGTCAACAATATCTATATTTGATTTACCATGGTCTAAGTGATTTAATTTCCTACATAAAAACTAATATAAATAAAAAAGGCTACAATCTTTTGGTATTTTGTTTATATGTGTTAGGACATCGTTAGCGTCAAAAATTTAATATTGAACTGAGAACCATCCACGAAGAAGTCTCTAATACCATGTCAGACAACCATTAGCTTTGAAAAACTTGAGCGATTATAGAGGGAGCCAACAATGTACATCTAAATCCGTTTTTATGTTATTTCGTACTGCACAATTTCTTTGTTTGTGGGATCGTTTTCTCACAAAAGGGAATTAAAATATAGCTTTGAAAAACTTGAGTGTCACGAAAGGGAATTAAAATATAGCTTTGAAAAACTTGAGTGATTATAGAGGGAGCCAACAATGTACATCAAGCTTAGATGGTAACCTTACACCAAGCACATATAAGTCAATTTGGCTCCAACTAGCCTTCATTTGTTTGTCAAAAGTTTGAATTCATTAAGACAGATAACAATGATTGATGCTGAGGCCTGTCTGATATCATGTCTCTATATACTCACTCAGTTGGCACTGGCCGCCTTAGACCGACAATCTCATCCACACCTCTATCTGTTTCTAAATGGCTAATTCTCAATCTCTTCCTCTATGTGAAAAAACACCCCTCAAAATTAACACACTACAGAGAGCCCAGGAAATTGCAATTTTGTTCCTCTTCATCTGTCTCCTTGTTTATCGTCTGCTCTCCCTCACTGACCATGGTTTTGTCTGGCTTCTTGCCTTCCTGTGTGAGTCTTGGTTTACCTTCAATTGGGTTCTCACCCTCATCATCCAATGGACCCCTGTTGAATACAAAACTTACCCTGAAAACCTCTTGCAACAGTATGTCACTTCTCAATTATATATATTAATCTCTTGACCAAATTGATAACATGTTTGATTAATGTTAATAAATCTGCTTAATTAGGGTGCCAGAGCTTCCTGCAGTGGACATGTTTGTGACAACAGCAGATGCAGACCTAGAGCCGCCCATCATCACAGTGAACACAGTGCTCTCTCTTCTTGCTGTAGATTATCCATCTCACAAGCTAGCTTGCTATGTTTCTGATGATGGCTGCTCACCTCTCACCCTCTACTCTCTCACCGAATCCTCTAAATTTGCTCAGTTTTGGGTACCCTTTTGCAAAAAGTATAATATTCAAGTTAGAGCTCCATTTAGATACTTCTCTGGCAATTCCAAATTGCCAAGTGATAATCCAATTGGGTTTCTACAGGAATGGACAAAAATGAAGGTAGAATTTGGCCTTATGCCTGTTTAAATTTGTATATATCCGAACATAGTGAGCACCAAGCAGAAGACAAAAGGTTCAAGATATTTAGCTAAGCTATCCTCATGCTCATGGTACAAATCTTTGCATGTCATCTTTGATTTTGTAGGATGAGTATCAAAAGCTCTGCCAAAAAATTGAAGATGCTGTCCAAAATTTGGCAACCCTTGATTTTTCTGGAGACTCTGGGGATTTTGCTGACATAGACAAAAGAAACCATCCCACTATAATCAAGGTGCTCTCTCTCTCTCTCTCTCTCTCTCTTTATGTTTGAGAGATTGTCTTTTCAATCACTAATTTGGATAAAGTTTGCACAGGTAGTTTGGGAGAACAAAGAGAATAATGGGGTGCCACATTTAGTTTATGTAGCCAGGGAGAAGCGTTCAGATCAATCACATCACCACAAGGCTGGCGCCATGAATGTTTTGGTGATAATTTCCTTTCAGCCAAAGAAAACCATAGTATTTCGCATTTTAAATATTTTAAATACATGTTGAATAAATTCTATTCTAGTAATGGCTATAAAAGTTTATCAGAAATACCCTGATTTTCCAAGTGACCAATTTTTGAGTTTTATTATGTATAGACCAGGGTCTCTGGTGTGATGACAAATGCTCCATTTATGTTGAACGTCGACTGCGATATGTATGCCAACAATTCAAAGATCGTTCTGTATGCGATGTGCCTATTGCTCGGCTTCAAGCATGAAAAAGAAGGTGCATTTGTTCAGTACCCACAAATGTTCTACGACACTTTGAAAGATGATCCATTTGGAAACCAACTGGTTCTCCCTCTAAAAGTGCGTATATTTACAACCACACACGCACATTATATATGTTTTAATTATTTGCTTGTGCTGTAGTAGTTTTTTTTCCTGCATCGAATTTCATTCACTGATTATATTTTAACGGGACCACTTTGTAGCACATCGGGACGTAGAATTTATAGTTGTTTTGATGTTTGCTTTTGTTTGAATGAAAGTCTTTCTTTGATAAAAACAAAAAATATTTTTGGATCTTTTGACCTAGACTTGCATCATTGATCTAGTTTAGGGACCTACCGTAATTGACTTTTGGGCTATCTTTTGTAGTTATCTTGGCCAGGGTTCGCTGGGATGCAAGGACCTCTCTATGCAGGGACCGGATGTTTTCACAGACGTAAAGTTATCTACGGTTTTTCCTTTATGGATAGTGAAGGTACCTAAAATTCCTTATAAGTAGCACTCATTAATCAAAATATTTATTAAAAAAATCCATATTTTTGAGCACTTTATTGTAGTCAAAGATATAGCTTTAATTATGTGGTGTAGTTTCATATCTATACTTTGATTAATTTTCAAACTTCCAAGGAAATCTGAGGGATGTGGCATTGGATCAAGAACGGTTTGGAAATTCCACGGAGTTAATCGAATCAGCAACTCATACTTTATCAGAGAAAATTGATCATCCTCATGACCTTTCCAGTGCTGTTGAGGCAGCCAACAAAGTTGCTGGTTCTTCGTACGAGCACAATACATTGTGGGGTACAAAGGTTTGAGCAATTATATATGTTTTCTGTTCTTATTTAAAAATGACTCTCGGTTAGTTTAAGGGCTCGTTTGGAATTGATTATGGAGATGTCAATAATCGCTCTTATGGAGAAGCACTCTTCTCACCATAATCACTTAAAATCACTAAAAGTGATTATATGGAGAAACAAGCGGGAGATACTTCTCCTCAAAAGTGATTCTATGGAAAAGCATGTGGCCAGAATCACTCATAAACGAGTCCTAAGTGGCACTCTCTCTTTGAAGTAATTTTGACATAGTTGGGCTGATCCATTTCAGGTAGGCTGGCTTTATGGGTCAGTCACAGAAGATATCCTAACTGGGATGAAGATCCATGCAAGGGGCTGGAAGTCTATCTTATGCATGCCAGACCCACCAGGCTTTATCGGCTCTGCACCCTCATCTTCTCATATTGTGTTGACCCAAAGGAAGAGATGGGTCACAGGCCTCCTAGAAATTTTGTTCAGCAAAAATAGTCCCATCTTTGCTACCCTCTATGCTAAGTTGGAGTTTAGGCAGTGCTTGGCCTACACGACCGTGCTAATTTGGGGCCTACATTCCATTCCTGATCTATGCTATACTATACTGCCAGCCTACTGTATCATTACCAACTCACATTTCTTGCCCTAGGTAAAACTAAGCCATCTATTCATGTCATTTTAATTTTGTCAAATTATGAAGTACTAATATACTATTTTATAACACAAATCCGTACAATAATGCTAGAGTCACAAAATACTTTCACAATCATTTTGTGAATAAATTTAGTATCTCATTTTCAAGTTCAAATGCTATTTTTTATGTAGGTCAAAGAACCGGCTCTCATAATCTTTGTTGCCGTGTTTCTAATGAAGATTTTGTACACCTTACGTTTTTACCTGGGATCTGGCCTATCAATCAATCAATGGTGGAACCATGTGAGAATGGGGCCATCGGGGAAAATACCCTATTTAACTACATCGTTATTTGGAGTTGTAACCGTGGTATTCAAGCTTTTGGGTATATCTGAGGTGGCATTTGAAGTCACACAAAAGGACCAATATTCCTCTTCAAGTGATGACCAAGACGATGATGGCAACGCTGGTAGGTTCACTTTTGATGAGTCTCCAATATTTGTGCCGGCCACAACCCTCTTGTTTGTGCACTTCACAGCCCTAGCCATGGGCTTGTTTGGGATGCAACCACCGGCTCATGGTGCGGATGGGGCGGGGCTAGGTGAGATGATGTGCTGTGTTTGGGTGGTGCTATGTTTTTGGCCATTTCTCAAAGGGTTGTTTGGGAAGGGCAAATATGGAATTCCAATGCCCACTATATTCAAATCAGCTGTCTTGGCCTTGCTTTTCATGCACTTCTGTGGAAGGATCCCTCTGCCACTGCGCCGCTGATGGACTATTTTTTTTTTTGGACAACGAATCCGCTGATGGACTATAGTTCCTCTTGGATAGGATATTTGATAAAATTTCCATTATTGTTATTGTTTTTCCTAATTGTATTTTGTTTGAATAAAGAAAATATTTTCCTTCTTATCATGTAAATAGGAGCTTATACATTACTATCAACAAGAGTATGACGTGCGTGCATAAGTTTTTATTTTTATGTTTTTGATGAATTATTTTTGCATATGAGGAGAAGTATCTCCTTAGAGGGAAGAAGGTAAGCAGTATTCTTTGAATAATTATGAAGATTAACATGAATAATTGAATTGACATCAACCCCTCTTTCCTTAATTATTCACTATTTCTATGATGTTTTCACATTTTGTTAAATTTAAGTTATTTTGTAACATTCAAATATTATATACAAAATTTAAGTAATTTTGTATCATCCAAACAGCTTATTGGGTTTATTAAATGTTTGTTGTAGGCTTGAGGGACGTAGGAAAAGAGGACAAAAGCTAGCCTAGTTTGCATGGCAGCATATGGAACTAGGGCAATTAACCTAACTAATGTACTATTTTCTTTTATCCTTTTCTTGTCAGCTTGTGTAATAAATAAATGTTCACATTTTACTTATAAATAATAATCTACTCTTGTACAAGGCAAATTCATTATTCATATAGTGAAGTTCTTTTTTTTGTAGTTATAATATTTGGGAAAAGAGAATTATTGAAACTTCCATATGCCTATTAACCAATAAAATGGTTATTCTAATACAAAACTACAACTATCCACACATGTTATAAAAAATTAAAAAGCTGTAAAATCACAATATGCATTTATGACTAATTCCAACCAAAATTGACTAAATAGAACAAAAATTAAGAGTTTTGACTCCCACTAATTACAATTAGATTCTAATTACGGACGAGAGACCAATGAATGATACATGTAAATGCGTTGCATCATAATTAAGTAGAATTCAAGCTATGAGATTTAAGGAATTCTCTTTCAATACAACGCGCTTTTTCGTTCACAGTTAAGAAGACTCGGGAAAAACATTGGGCCCCCATGTATTTTACAAGTGAAAGTCCAGCAGAGTATGCAAGGCGCACACAATAAATATTCTGAAAATTACGGAATCAAAAAAAGATAAAACTATATCCAAAAACAAGGAAAGAAAGTAAAATAAATACCAAACGGCCACTTTTGCCAGGCTATAAAAACTCAATAAGAGGCCTTCATGAAGGAGTCCAAGTCCCAACCAAACGCCTCCATACCAATCCTCTCACTCTCCTCCCTCACTACACTCACTATACAAGAAAATAGAGATCTGAAGAGACCAAGGCATTTTCTTCTCTTTGATTGTTTGGCATTGCTAATTCATTTCTCCAATAATTAATGGCTGTCATCACTGAATCTTTGCTCGGCGATCAATCATCATCACCGCCACCGGAAGCTACATCGGGTCAAAACAACTCAGAGTCGACCCGGCCTAATGATGCTGACCCGTTCAAAAAGGTGAATGTGGAGCAGTGGATTCTTGAGCTTCGCGACAGACGTACCCGAGAAAACGCACTGCAACGCCTCTCCAAGGTCATGACTGATCGTGATCGTATATACATTTATCATTTTCGTATCTAATTTCTTTTCTTATGTTTATGCATTTCATATACATATATTTCTTGGTATATTTTTGTACATGATTCATGTCGCTCAAAACGATTTCATAGTATTAGCTCTATAATTTTTCAAGATAAAAAATGTATTTGCATGTCACCAGTCTATATCTGCCACGTGCTTTGTATGAGCATATCTCTGTGGGTTAGTTTAGCCACATGTGCAAAAATGAGATTAGCCAAGCTGATTAGAGCAGATGTGCTCCGACTCTTCCAATCCCCCTTCTTTTAGTTTAGAATATTACTTGTATAAAAAATAAAAAATGAAAGTTTAGCCACATGCATATATATTACTGGGTACTTTTTTTGTTTCTCTTTATTTTAATTTTTATTAATTGTTTGTGGTCCTCAATATACAGATCAGGGAAATTCGTGAGGACTTGGCTCCGTTGCTGTGGCATTCCTTTGGCACCACATATACATTGTTAAAGGTATGGCGCGTAACTTGGTTTTGTTTTATTTATTTATTTTTAATTTGATGAAATGGGTGGAATTAACGCTTAAACACATAAAAACTAAATGACAGAGATAACTTAATTATATATATATATATATATTATGATTTTTCTACAGAGTTCATTGATGACTTGGTCTGCTTTTGACACTAGGTATGAAGGTTTTTAGGTCATCTTCTGACATGTTTATTGTTCGTGTTTAGTGAGTTATGCCATGAGTTATTCTATAGTAAGGGTCTTATTCCCTTAGATGAGGCTCTATCTCTTAACAGTTAGATCAAACTAACCAAGCTGATTAAACAACTAATCAATTTGATCTAATGATTAAGAGATATGGCCTCATTTAAGGGCCTTATAAGGCCCTCACTATAGAATTCTACGTTATGCCATAGTATTCTTGTCAAACAATAATCAACCCAAAATCAACTACTTTCGTTTTGGGTTCGAGTAGGAGCTTCTACAATATGGGGGATTTTGGTGAGGGGTTCAATCCAACCATTCAATTATTATAAAAGTTCAAGTCCAGTATTTTCTCTCTTATTAGATGGTGAGATTGAACCCCTCCCACAACCCCCTTATCCACAAGTCATGTCAAAAATTATCAACCCAAAATCCACTATACCAAATTTCATTTTCCCCAGTTAATAACTGGGTTAGCCTTATGCGTTTAAGTTGAGATTTGGGTTAATGTAAACTTTTAATACTCTTTCATTATTTTTAGGTTGCTAGAATTTGGGTTATACTTACTAAAATATTAAATTTGTAAATTTGAAATTTAATCATTATAATGAATTATATATATATTTTCCTATAAAAACTAATTTCCTAAGCTATTTATAGTTGACCCTTCTTGATAGAATTTCTGGCTCCGCCACTGTTCGCCCTATCATTTTTGTTTTCTCTTTAATTCTCATGTCAGTCTCTTCATACTTCAATTCAAGAGAACTTTTGATGACATACATTTTAGGAATTAAAGATAATGATGGTTTTTATGAAGTCTTTATTCTTGTAATGAATTATTACCTAAGAAAGTAAGCTTAAATTGTCATGTTGCTTTTGTACAAGTAAATGGCATTTAATATGTTTATTATTTTGTTTCTACAGTGCGTAGCTGCTCATCCAGAGACAAGAAATCTATTTGTCAAAGGTAAGTTTGTTAAAATAATGGGATCGTTTAGTTCCTACGATTGGAATGGATTGGATAAGTCACTAAATCTAAGGTATGTTGAAGGAGGAAATGAAGGTAGAGGTGAATAATTTTTCATTTTGGGGGGATTAGGAGGGGTATAAGTTATAAAATGTTTTTATCCTACTATTTACTGGGGATTAAATGAGACAAGTTTTCTTCATGAGTAATTCAGCTTCTACACCTTCAAATTGGTATTAAAAAAATTCGTTTCTTCGTTAAAACATGCTTTAAATATACGGAGTTATCCTATCCAATCTAGTACTAGACACCAGACGAGCCCCAGGTATGAGGACTTCATTTACTTTTGGGACTTATCTTACGAGAAGAGGGCTTCCTGTAAAGTAACGAGAGGAAGTTATAGTTTGAGTTTTGTAGTCATGCAATGCATCTAATTAATTGAATTGTATACATGCTGTGTGCAGCCAACATTCCAATGTATATCTACCCTTTCCTCGGCACTAAGAGCAAGGAAAAACCTTATGAATATCTGAGGCTGTCCAGCTTGGGTGTTATTGGTGCCCTTGTGAAGGTATATGTATGAAATTATGTTTATGCCTTCAATCCCATTTTCATTCCCTTCTATTTTTCAACAATTTAATGTTCTTTGAACTTAATGAAATAATGATAATTTGGACCCCCCTTTCCTTCCTTGTTCAGGATAATGATGAAGACATCATCACTTTCCTTCTCCAAACTCAAGTGTTCTGCTACTGCATCCGCTGCATTGAAGTTGGCACTATACTGTCAAGAACTGTAAGTAACAAGGAAGTTTATACATATAATTGTTCCAAAACTCATGGCTGTAAGTTGGGAATTTCTGTATGGTAATTTATGTAGCAATTGTTACTTGAATTTAGTAAATTGGAAACAAAACACACAGATAACAGGAATTTTCTGCCTGGAATAGGGAAATCACATTTTTTTATATACAAGCGATGCTGGGGGATGGGTGAAATCAAACCTAGGACCTCAGATGATGCAGGACCAAATGCTTTTAACCACTTGAGATACAAGTCTCTTGCTTTTTTTTTTTTGGACAAAGGGAAATCACAATTTGAATTGCACCCTATTTGCATCTGTCTCCTTGTTTGATCATAAGGCTTAAGATTGATGTGCCTTTGAATGTACAGGTGGCCACATTCATAATTGAAAGAATTCTGATCAGTGATCAGGGAATGAAGTACTGCATCACTTTCGCTGATAGATTCTATGTCATCACTCAAGTTCTTAGCAGGATGCTCGATAAGCTTCCCGAAGAACCCTCCCACCGGCTGCTCAAGCTCATCATTCACTGCTTTCTCAGGCTCTCAGATGGTCTAACGTTAGTAATTAAGTTATTCTTAAGGGTCCAGAGATATTGGCATTACTTTCATTTGTTTGATTATAAGCAAGTTTGGTGTTTGAAATTTTCACAGCAGGGACGTTGACAGCTTAAGCCTATGTCTCCCTAGGAGCTTGAGGGATTCTAGAGTTATTAACCTCGTCTCTGTAAGTTCTTGACATACTTTGAACACTTCTATAATGGTGGATCCATTGCCGAGAGGTATTTAGGATATCTGAGTTTCACATCAAAACCCCAAGATTCATACTGAGACACTTCTATTTTCCAGGAAGACCCGGTAGCCATGTCGTATCTGAGGCGCCTGTATTGCAACGTTGCTGCAGGGAGGAAGCCTAATGGAGCAGCTGGGAAGCAGCCTAATGGAGCATCAGGTGCCGAGTCCAATGGTCGCGTGGCTAAAGGCTGAATGGCAAACCATGGCATCCATCCATGCTGATCAGGCACCACCACCACAGAAGAAATACCATCCACACAGAATGAAGAATATAGTCGTACTTTCTTTCTCGTTGTAATTCTCGTGTATCATGTTTTAGAATAAATGCAACTGTAGACTGTTAGTTTTTAATGTTAATTGCTTTGTTTCTGAATGCTTTTAGCATGAATTAGAATCAGTGTTTGATTTTAAGAAAGGTGCAATGGGATTTAGCCATTGTCTTTGTGAATCACATCGACGCTGGACAGAGATAAGTGCTGTTCATAAAGTTCAGTCGTGCTTGAATGTGCACGACCTTACTTGGACAGGATCTGTTCTATAGGTTGTACATCTGTATCCTTGATTACTAAGGAGACAGGAACCAAAGTCTGGTGGATGAACCACGACCGTAGTGATTAGCAGCTTCGTGGTCTCCAATCATTGTGGCAGTAGATGATCGTTCTCAGCCGCTGATCAAGCTAGCTGGGGTGGTCACAACGGTTGTCTGACAGACCCCCAATCACTTTTTTTCTTCCATACTACTAATTTTATAAATTCACTTTCTTCCTCAACAAAATTGCTATAGCAAATTAGTATTTTGAACCATCAAAAATATAATTGAAGTAAGGGTAAGTGGGCATTTAACCAATTCTCATTTCTTTCTAATCTAGCTTACCATTTCTACATAAGATTATAAAACAAAAAATAATAAATACAAAATTGTGAATAAATTGAACAAATAGATCTAGAATACAGCATGAACAGCAAACATTGCATTGATAGAAACTCAAACAAATTAGGTCTCAATCTTGGGAATGCGAATGTAATTCATCCCGCTTGGGAGGAATTGAAAGACTGCTTTCGAGCATAAAAGAGAGATCATGCATCTGTGACATTATTCTCTCCACGTCTTCAGATTTTGACCCTGCTCTTGCACTGGAAACATCTCCACCCTCCGCAACATCTTCAGATTTTTTTTCATCTTTTGTGCTCCAATCAGCCAAACTAAACATGCAACAGAAAATATGGTTAAGATAGGTTGTTCAAAGTACAAATCAAAGCCTTTTCCATCAAGTTTCATGTACTACATTCACAAATGCAAACATAAAACATTCAAATAAGTTTCATGGTAGTTCAAACCAGGATTCTGAAGCTATAATAACAGCCAAATAGGTAGGCTCAAGCACGCACCTGTCTAAAACAGAAGACTCTGCCTGCTCCATATCCACTCCAGTTGAACCATTGGAACTGTTAAATGCTCCTGCTGAGAAATCCGGTTGCGATAAGCTACCAAAATTCAAATCCCTGGAGTTGCTAGCTGTGCTGAACAAATCTACTACAGAAGTCTGGTCAACAGGTGTCGTCTGATTAATACTTTGTTTTAAAGAACTATCAGCAAGATTTTGTGCACTATTCGAGGTCGCAAAATCATTCCAAGCATCAAATGAATCCTCATCCTCATCAGTAATCTTATTATCAGGGGCCTTGTTGCTAGTGGTCTGTAATTGATTGTCTTGAACCCAATCAACATCAGCAGGAAAAGAGTTATTCACATTCTCAGTTATACCCTTCACCTCAGCAAGCGTTTCAAACTGTTCAGGACCTCCAGCAAACCCAGACTTGGAAACGCCCAATAGATCATCTTGAAACCAGTCAGTAGTCATGGGTGCAGACCCAGTCATACTATGGTTTGATTTTTCATCAGTTGAGTCTACTGCAGATCCGAATACTGTGTCCATGTGGGCTGAAAGATCCACTGTGGAACCCACAAAGGGATCAATTAATTTTGATTCTTGGGGAATGTTTTCAGAAGCTTGCGGAAGGTTTTCAGAAGCATGAGGAAGAGTTTCAGAAGCACGAGGAAGGGTTTCAGAAGCAGCAGACTGAAAATTTGCTGCCCAACCGGAAAAGGAATCACCACTCTCTCCTTCAGTAGACTGCACAACTGTCTCAAAAGGCTGTACATTCTCAAACAGTCTAAGAGTTTCACGAACTTCGAAAGCATTACTTTCTTCACCGGAAGTCTGTGTGCTAGACTCGAACAGCTGCTCTTCAGAAATATTAGCAGCAGCATCTTTTTTTCCTTCAGAAAAAAAGTTGTCGAGATTTACTCCGGCCAAATCTGGTAAGCTTTTGGGCTGAGTTGGTGTCTCATTTGAGAGATCAATCTCAACTTTCTCTGGCTTAGAGGTCCATTTTATTTCAAGATTCAAAAGATCAGACAGACGTAATTCATCCTTCCGTGCAGTCTGTCCTCTGTTGAACTCATCTGCTCCAGTGGGTAATTCTACTATCTCCTGCAAACCAAAGTCTCAAACTTCACTAAGTCTTCCCTATTTTAAGTACACAGCCTACGTTGATGACAGAACACTAATCCTCATCTTTAGCAAACAAAACTATAATTTCTGACATATGTGATATGCTTTCAGAATAAATGGACAAAAATCTGTGGCCCCTAAGAAAGTTCTGAGTGTGACCTGTTCATAATCTTTAGTGCCAAGTAGACTGTGATGCAAATCCATATACAATGTACTATCCTAAATTTCTGCATAATCCCAAAATTGGCTTCAAGCTTTTAGTTTTTTTATACACTACATGATAACACAAATAGCTTCAAATAGGAAATGTGAAATCAACTTCATCACTCCGCCGGGCTTCTAAAAAGAGCTCGTAAAACAAATTAGTAAACGAAAACATTCAAAGCTTCAATCTTTTTCATCATCTAGAAGCGAGATGATATAATTTCTAAAATTTCCTGTTTTTTTTTTCTTCTAATTTCCCCTGAAATAAAAATAACTTCATTCCAGAAAAGCAATTAGGGAATCTAAATTTCATTTCTTTCTCGTTTTCCCTTCAACCAAACACAACAAGAACCCCTTTTTTTCTCTCTTAACCTCAATTTTCTCATCAACCAAACAATACATACAAAATTAAGTCGCATACCGATCCATCCAAGCTCAGGGACTTGAGCAACCACCGGTAGCCAAAAGTGTCGCGAAAATTGATGGGGTCAGGAGGAAGGTCCTTGCAATGTTCTCTGCCACAGAAGGCGCAAATAAGTGTCTGAACGCCCCTCAGCAATCTGCCCTTGCAATGCTTGCACCGTAGGTACGGCGGGGATGGATCCAAATCCGCTATGGTTTCTTCGACGGATGGTAGATTTGGCAACGGCGTGTCATCTGGGTCATACGACGACATCTTCGCTTCTCTCCGAAGCGAGATCTGCACCTCCTTTATCACATCCGTTGGGATTTCCATCGCCATTTTCAGGCTTGCTGGTCTCTCCCTCTCTCTGTCTCTCTGTGTTTGGGATAGGGCGGTGGTTCAGTGACTGAGGGGCAGAGAGTTACTAGATCGCATGGTATCACTTCCCACCAGTTTCTGTTGAATTCTCTCTCTGTTCACTCGGGATACGGTGGTAATTCTGAAAATAAATAAATAAATAAATAAAATTTAAATTCAGCTCTGTATTCTTATTTTGCTTTATTTATTTATTATTATTATTATTTAATACAAGTGATATTATGCAAATCGAAGACTTTTTTTCACACACACTGTAAGATGTCATGAGATTCGAACTTGATACCATAATATGCAAATTAAAGTCTTTTTTTATTTTTATTTTTAAATTTTCAAAATTGCATCTATAATCCACCTACAAAGAGTCAATATAACTTTAAAATGTTACATCTGTTGAGAGTGTTTGTCTCACATTGATAAGTTAAGGGATTTAGTATGGATTTAGAAGGAGTTGAGATACTCCCCCCATTGCCAATTGATTTTGGGGTGGAATCTCAACTTCCTTCATGGTATCAGAGCAAGGCTTCACGTGCTCAATTTCCTTTATGGTATCAGAGCAAAGCTTCACGTGTTGGGCCCAACAACCACACGTGCTCTCACGTCAAAGTTAAGGGACCTAATCTATATTTATAAGGAGTTGGGCTACTACTAATATAAATATGTGTTAGCATACTTGATTAAACCAAAATAAAGACTTCAAACTCGTAACAAACTTAAATTAAGTTATTATAACTTATTGCAAACTAAAAGGCTAAAAAATCATTAAAAACTACATTGCTTTTGTGTGGAAGAAATGTATATTTTAACGAATCGTGTCAAATAACTCAACACTTACTTATGGTACGCTGGTTAATATAAACCAAAAACTTGAATCATAACACTTAGTTACTTAAAAAGAAAATCAAATCTATAGTTTGTGCACTTATTGGAAATAAAAAATGAATTCATTTTATGGTCATATCTCTAGAAAGGCAGAACTTAATCTATGTAAAATAAATAAGACTACACATAGCAAAATTAGTATAGTTCTAAGTTGTTGTGCAAGAATCAAAATTGGATTTGAAACTAACATCAAGTTAAAAAATTACAAAAATAGTTACTTTAAATATTAAATTCAAATAATAATAAAAGTTGAAAATGTAAGAGTTAATTATTAGTGATAACACAAAACCAAAAACTGACTTTGACTATTTACACAAAATAATAAACCGGGAAATGAAAATGGAAATGGACCAACCGGCAAAAAGTCTCTCTCAAATTAATAAAAATTGGATAAAAACACGGTCACAGTCTCACAGGCTTTCGCAGATGTAAAGAAGCCATCTTTGATCTTCACAAGTCCCAACTAAAACTATACGGCAGTCGGGCCGTGAAAAACCGTTAAGAATCGACGTTGCCGGCTCAAAAGCTCGGGACTTTCGATTCGATTTCACAAGCTGAGGAAGAACCCAGATTGGAAGAGAGAGAAAGAGATAGATAGAGAGAGAGAGATGGCGATGAGTCCAGCAGTGTTGAAGGCGGGGCTGGTGATAGTCGGGGTCTGCATAGCCGGGTACATAGTGGGCCCACCTCTCTACTGGCACTTCATGGAGGGCTTAGCTGCCGTCTCCCACTCTTCATCTTCTTCTTCCTTATCTTCTTGCCCTCCTTGCACCTGTGATTGCTCTTCTCAGCCTCTCCTCTCCATCCCCATTGGTAATTTGCTCTGCTTTCACTTGCCCATGATCCATTTTGGCTAGATCTGATTGGATCTCTTTTATTTTTACGTTTTTTATTTTGTTGGGTTTAGCACAATTTGTACTGATTTTATGCCAATGCGCTCAAAATCCCATTTGGGTTCACTGATTCATTCCATTATTTTTCATATCTAAAGTTGGTAGCTTTTATTGGTTGTGATCAATTTGGGATTTTTTTAATCAATTGCGTTACTTCATTCAGCTGATTTTACTGTATTATTAGTTGATTGTCATCACTATCAGATGCGTACTCATCTTGCTTTGTTCTTGTTCTGCAGGACTCAGCAACATTTCATTTGCAGGTTAGTGTCTTCACCGCAAATTAACTTGTTCTGCATGTATGATGTTCTAGATTGATTGCTTTGTGATATAACTTGACTACTTATGTTAGATAATTCATTTTCCCTGAGGTGTTACCTTTTAAGGACTGATAATGTGGCAAGTATCATTCAATCCAGTATCATCGTCTCAAAGTTTTCACTTTCAGATCCCACTCCCCAATAGACAAATTTTTCTGGAAGAAATGTGAAGTCTTGCAGTATTGCAAACTTTCCTGCTCACTTTTATTTTCTCAAATTCACTCTCTCAACATCATCTAGATGATTCTGTAGAATGTGTGTGGTTTCTCCACACTACACATTTTGCAGTTAAGACTGCATCAAGAGCTCCTAGCCTAGTAGATTTCTTTCATTGGACCATAACTGAATTCTGGCCTTTTCTTTTTCCTGTGCCCTCTCTCTTTTGGTCAATCTTAACTCACTTGCTCTTTAAAATTACTGATTTTACTTGAAGGATGGATTTGTGCCTTTGATGCTTATCCTTTTCATTCTTATTTTGGTTGAACGATCATCTAAATAATTCAAATACTTATTACCTTGAATTATGGAGGTTAAGTTGCATCTCAAAGTACAAGGTTGTGGTTTTCATAAGTTTGGTTTTTAGAATTTAGGTAGTATTTTTGGTTTTTCAAATTGGGTGATGCAATTATAGGGCTACATGAAGGTTTCAGATTTCATTCAATCCTTAGAAGCTTCCACTGTGTATTTATGTATTTGGCACATATTCTGCAGATTGTGCAAAGCATGATCCAGAGGTGAATGAGGACACCGAGAAAAATTTTGTGGATCTTTTGACTGAAGAGTTGAAGCTTCGGGAAGCTGAAGCTATAGAAAATCAACAACGAGCTGATATGGCTCTGCTGGAGGCTAAGAAGATTGCATCCCAGTATCAGAAGGAAGCAGACAAGTGCAATTCAGGGATGGAAACATGTGAAGAAGCAAGGGAGAAAGCTGAAGCAACATTAGAGGCACAGAGGAAACTGACAGCAACATGGGAGCTTAGGGCTCGTCAAAGAGGATGGAAAGAAGGGGTTACAAAGTCTCATACTCAGACGCAAGGAAATGTTCAGACTGTGTAGAAACCCTCTGTGGCAGTTATGGAACAGCCAAAGGCTAATCTTCTTCAACATGGTACTTCCTCTCTTTGTTAGTGACAAACTCTTACTAGGACACTCTTCTTCAACTTAAATGGGGCATGTTATGCAATCAATTTTATTTACCAGACTGAATTATTTGTATTTACAGTTAAAAGTACAGAGAACGTAGTTGTTATCTAGCATTTCAAAAGCAATGAATGTTGTCAAGAACCCAGATCATCCCAATTCTCCACCCAATTATAGTTGAATGTTCCACATGTAAGACTGAAAGCAGGAATTCTTCATTAAATGTCAGTATGGATGGTTGTCTAAATCCTGGCTTCATTGATTGAGGAATGTTGAATTCTTGTATTTGGTCTAAAAATCTCCATAGATCTGATAAGAGGTGGTGGAGGCTGCTGGCTGCTGGCTGCTATTGATCAAAGCTAACAATATTGGGCATGAGTGGTGGGAAACATGTAGGAAAGCTTCACTTCCTGAGAGGATTCTAAGTAGACGCTTACATAGGCTGAAATTATTGTTTTGGCATACACAAAATTGGGCTGTCCCAATACCTCAGCTGGCCAGTCATCCATGATGTCCTTGGGTTAATTAGGGAAGCAAAGCCCAGTTTGTGGGCAAGTGGGACTTTTGCTAGCCCAAAGACCAGCAATAGGTGAGATGGGATGAAATATGGAAAGAAACCCTTTTTTTTATTGGGTTGCAAGGAAGAACTCTTAAACTGGAGAAGTGGGAAGATTATCAAACTCAGTGACACGTTACTTTTTAGTTTAGTGGTACTTCGCTTCTTAGAAGCAATTTCAAGTTTGAATTCTTCCTCCTTTTCTTGATAAAAAATGAAGAGTTGTCACACCGAGACTGTAGTATACAATGCAACTTCTCAATCCTTAGAATGTGATGGTTTTGCTAATCATGTTCTGTGAGTGAAAAGTTACATACAAAGATCGCAAGTATACAAGAATTTCTTGTGAAAAAGCTACAAGATCTGTAGACAAAGTATTGCAAAAAATGAGGGGCATCCTAATAATCTTGGTTTGGGAGGAACCTAATCATTCAATGCTTTTAAAATGAGGGCATGCATGCTTTTGGAAAGGAATGTGAACTCATTTTTGTCAATTTGTCAAATCATACCAAACAAAGCCAAATAAGTACAAGTGGAGTGGGGGCAACCCTTGATCCACCCCACCACAATAAACCCTTCTTTACATTCTTATTCACTTTTATTTAATGATTCTAGGCACACCCAACTTGCCCTTTTCCCTCAAGTATCTGTCCGCTTTAATTTACTACAAACCCCTGAACGACACCAAATTTACAAAAACAGACAAATACATTATTTCATCATCCATCACATCCCCATTTCTACGACTGTGATCACTCACATTGCTCTCTTACTTGGCCTTCTCAAGGGCTGTGATTGAAGTTGCGGTCCCAGTGATTGAATCATATCTTTGAAACACATAAGCAACAAACAAGGAAGCCGTGAGGGGCACAGTGTCCTTTCCAGCACACTGTTTGTTGTACTGGCTTGGTGAGCCGGTCTGCGGTCCATTGGACCAGTACAAGTAGTTCAGTAACTCCTGATTTTTCAAGAACCGGTCCGGTTGAAAAGTCTCTGGTTCATCAAAAACTTTCTCATCCTTCATCACCTGTGGTTGATACCCACAAAGCAACTCACCCTTCTTGATGTCAAAAACCGAGTCATGCGAACTGAGTTGAAAGTCCTTCCTGGCCCGGGCGAATTGGAGAGGAACCGGCGGGTTGCACCGGAGTGTTTCGTATACTACAGACTGAACCAGTGGCAAATTTTTTACTGAGTCTAAAGTCAAAGTTGAACCCGCCTTTTCTCTGACTTCTTTGACTATTTTGTCTTGTAAGCCGGTGGTGTCACTAGCTATTGTGCTTATTAACGTTGGTAGAAAGACAGAGAACCCACCAAACCCATTGAAACCAAGCACAAACAGAAGGTTGTGAATTACTTCTTCTTGGCTCAGTCCAAACTCGGTTTCACCTCTCTTCACTACTTCTTTACCTGTAAACAATTCCATAATTTGTGTTCATGGACATGTACATGCTTAAACTTGTTGAGGAATGTCATTTGTACCGGATTTATCGACCACGTTATAGAACATATCTCTAATAGCCTTATATTATATGTGTGTCCTACGAAGATGTATGGTAATATTCTCTTGTCAAACTTATGTCAGCAGATAAATGTTTATGTCGCCTGTAAATCTGGACAACATATTCACATAATAATCAACTCGATTTGTGGTCCATATGAACAATATGCCAAGAGAACATTTCCCTAAAGATGTAATCTACAATATGCTACTAAATGTAAGTAGAAACAGTTTGTTGGTAACACACCTTGTTCCTTAACAAATTGGAAAAGCTTGTTGTAGTCTCCACTCACAAGAAAAGATGGGTATGCAAAAGAATGGAGGAGAATCTCCTCCAGAGGCTGAAGCAAACCAATCTTGACAGTGGGGAGGAGTTGGAGGGCGAGCCACCGGTCGAGCATGGCATAGCCGGACTCAGCTATCTTGGGTGAGCTTGCTGTGTCAGCACCAACTAAGCATTTTGTGAGGAAATTGAAAATGAATTTCTGTAGTGGGATCAAGTAGCTGGCACTCCCATCCTTGGACACTTCTGCTTCTATTGTGTCAAACATGGTGGAGAGGTTAGCAGTGAGCTCAGGTACCCAAACCTTGGAGCTTCTTTTCAAGATATCCATGGCAAAGTTCTTGATCTGTGAAGGATATTAAGATTGTAATTAGCTTAACAAGAAATTAACATATCACAAGAAGATGATACTTCATTCCATATTTACTAAGAATTATTAATGTGTACGGTTAACTTTAATCACCATGGTAACTTCAGATGAAACGGTAGTAGTTCATTTTATATAAAAGAAAAAAAAGAGAAAGCACCAAGAAATAGCAGAAAAACTTGTATGAAACAGGAATTGCACTGTTTTGCTATCCTCAACAAACCACATGATGCCACGTGGAAAAGTTATCATGTGTGGCATGCCATGATTGGCCGAAGATAACAAAATAGTGCTATTTCCGTTTCACACAAGTGTTTCTCCAGAAATAGAGAGAGACCATTGACCAAACCCGTGGAAAATTAATCCCAATTTACTGAGCAATCTGTTAATCTTAGTCCACTCAAAATTTAAGATATCTATCTCACATTCAACTGGAGGTTAGGACCACCAACAATTGTTGTAATGGTCCCAGGAGTAGGGGTCCTGCAGAACTCACAATTTTCTTGGTACAAATTTTGGATTGGCTCGACTCACAGCCTAAACATATGACAAAAGACAAACCAGTGTGTTACACACGTTTGGACCATTTTGGGACTTTTCAGCAACCTCCCTACTCTCCAGGAAAACATATCCAACAAGTCTCTCATCCATTACTCTGATAAGAGAATCTACTTCTAGTTCAGCCAGAAACATAAACAAGCCACAGTATCTTCAATTGCTCAACACAATTTTTTTCTTCTTCTTAAAATATAGCAACTAAAATTTCAAGCTCTTGCTAGCCGAAATTCAGAAGTTCATTCAATAAATAAATGAACCCGAATCTATAAATACGAACGAGTAATGTTCTCTTGCGAGATTTATGTTGTTAGATAAATGCTTATGTTGTCAGTAAATTTGAGCCACGCATTTAGACAAAAATCAACTTAATTAATCATCGAGATTTACGATATGATTATATAATAATATAAAATATTTGTTTTGGGAAAGAACATTTCCGGATCTGAACATTTTCAAAAAGAAAAAGAAAAAGAAAAAAGTATCAACATGAGTTCATGTAAGAGCATACCTTAGCGTGTTGTGGTTCAGTGGAATCAAGGTAGGCACAGGTCCTCAAGCCCCCTGTAAAGCTAACACTGGGCATGAAGTCACCAACAAGAATATTCTTCTTCTCGACCAAGTCCATGTCGAAGAGGTACGAGAAGGACTTGCAGTCCAGAACAGCCACAACGTTGGGGTTGACGTTGAGAAACAGAGGAAAGCTCGGAGGGACATTTGTACGGTACACAGTGCTCTTGTACTTGTCAGTGCGTTTTTTGAAGAAGGTTTCAGGGCCTTGGAACCAGAAGTAGTCCAGGCGGTCTGAGATGGGCCCTAGCAGCGGCCAGCCGTAGGTTCCTGGGATCGTACGGACCGGAAGTGATGCCGGCGGTGAAGAGAGCGGTGGTGATGATGGTGCTGAGGGTGATGAGGATGAGGATGATGATGGGATGCCAGGCGTTAAGCTCATCATGAAAGACATGGGTTTTTTTTATATAATTTTTTTAATTTTGTATTGGGTTTTGAGATTTTGAGATTTTGTGTTGTGAAGTGGAGTGATGTTTGTGGTTTTGCAGTTTCTGTAGTTGTGAGGTTAAAGGTAAGAGCTTTGGTTATAAATGCTCTGTAGTCTTTCTCGGGTATTTTTGACACACAAAAAACGTGAAAAATTCATCTGAAAATCTGCATTTATATTTTTCTTTATTGATTTCCTGACTAAGCCAATAATAAGTGGATTTTTGTTTGTTTCCAAGGAAAAAATAATATTCTGCCCCAAAAAAACAGGGGAGAAATAAATATGTTTGTCACTTTAAAAAAAATCACATATGCTATCATATTTAACTATGATATATGAGTTTTAAGTTCCTTTTTCATGTTCGAGGATAGGGGCAGGTAAATTCTAGTCTAAACAGCGGAAAGGGGTATTCGAATTCGAATACAGAGTGAGGAGCACATCCATTCTAATCAAGTTGGCTAAATCTCGTGTCTACGGAGCTGTTGTTTAAGATTAATAATGAAAGATTAAGGCCACCGTGATCTCTTGCAAGACTTAAAACTCTTAATAATTAGCACATGATATGTGTTCAACGCAAAAATAAATTAGCAGCATGGAACTCGTTGAGAATCGTGTCACAAACAAATGCATCACAGCTCATTGAAGTCATTGTTTATTTAATTATCTTGTAATTGAATGAGAAGATTTTATTGTGATCAGGATTGATTGTGATCAGGATAGGGCTGTGTGTGCACATGTCCTGCCTTTCTGAACGAAACGTGGGGTATGTTTCAATCGATATTTTTGGTGGTACTTTTCAAGGGCCACATTTGCCGGACTTGTCATTTGATTGATTGAGTAAATAGTCTACGGTTTTGTTATTTTTGAATAATATTTCTTGCTATTGATTAAAAAATAACATTGCTTTTAATGGGGCACATATAATATTTTTAGTTTGATTTGATTCAAGACCAAGAAGTTAAAAAACCAATATCAACTTCATCCTTGTCTTCAAGACCAATTTAAAATAAAATATTGAAAGGAACAGCAGGAGATTATCATAAATATGAGTTGTAAGGTACACTTTAAACACACTTTCCATTTCATTTCCTTTTCAATCATAAACAGTCAAGAGCTAAAGAAGGTGTATGCTGAGATCATCCAAATTGGTGTTGCCAAGGATTCTCAAGCCATGCTCATTAGCTAAATGTAAAAGGCATATGAAACACAGATGAGGGGAGATTTCATTGATAGTTCCAGCAGCTCTGCAGTCACTTGGGAAGCTGGCCAAGATTTGCTTGAAGGATGCCAGTTGTTCTTGACCCTTTCCAAAATCAGAAATATCAACAATCAGAATTTACCTTCTCAAAATAATGTATATCATAAATAAAGCAGTTGGGCAGTAGATGCATAAATTTTCTGGATTTACTCTTTGTAAAACAAACGGACGGTAACTAAAGAAGACATGTGGAGTAATAGTAGTTCCTATTCCTAAATATGGTTCAGTGTTGATCTTCTATTCTGTTAATATAATTGTATCTAATATAAGACTAGAAAAACTTGTATGAAACGGGAATAACACTGATCTACTATCCCCGAACAATCAAGTTATACAAAGTGGAAAAGTTATCACGTGTAATATAACCTGATTGGCTAGGAAATAGCAAAACAATATTATCCTCATTGCACATAAGTGTTTCTCATATAGGACAGAGGTACTTATGCATTTCTGTTGGCCGATCACATCAAAGGCCATTACCGGTAACCAGTACGTTCTTCCAACAGACAGATTGATTGCAGCATGAACAAATAAAAAAAGGAAAAGTGTTGTTCTTCAATCAATTGGAATAATACATCAATAATCGATAGGCTCGTATTAGTATAGAAATAAATCCCGAATCAAGCTTTCATACGTCTTCTAACTTTTTTTTTTAATGTAAAAACTCATTCCATAAGCTATATACTATATAGCCTAAGGAAAACTGCACAAAAAAAATTATTTGAAGAAAGAAATGAAAAAGAAAACTTAGCGCACCTGTGTCGACATTTGAACAGATTCTTGTACATGGCCCCAAAGGGTTTCTTTCAGAACCTGGACATCAACTTGTTTGGAAGTCTTGTCATAGTGGACTTCAATTTTGTTTACCTGTATTGTTTAGATGTAGGAAGAAAGCATAAGCAAAAACTACAGATTTGTTTTAATGAGCCTTGAATTACATACTAAAACTATTCCTAAGATTGCAGCCCTTATCATCTCCATGATGAATATCTATAAAACTAGACAAAATCCAATTATAAACTTGTAAAATACTTGTAAGACAAAGGGAGAAATAAAATACAAAGTTCTTCCTACTTCATCCAAAAAAAAAAAACCTTGTAAAATACTTGAGATGAAATCAGGTTTGTAAACCACCATAACTCTCCAAGTCATAGGCTACCTAACACTCACTCTCAGACTTGTGGTCAACTGCAAGGGGTCTCAAATTACATCAAGCTGAAAAGTTAGAAACCAACCTGGCGAGGCTGAGAAACAAGTGTGCTAAAGTCCTCCACATCACTATGGCTAATTCCGTCATTATATTGGCCACCAAATACATTATCATCATCGTAGAATGGCGATTGCCCATAATCATCAGACTGTTGCCTCGATTCATCTAATATCACAAGTACTCTATATATTAATTGCACATTTGATCATTAATAAAAATTTAAAATAAAATAAAAGGATCCAGAAAAAATGTTAATTATTGGTTATCCCTATTTATTACCAACCAACAAGAAAGAACTTTCTTACCTGAGGACTTCTTGCCTCTCCTTCCAAGGAACTGCAGCACCAAAAAAAAGAAGCATCATTTCATGAAAAGGAAAGAGCATAAACCATTTTGATGGAAAAACATATATATGATTGTTGCAACACATTACCTTTACATTAGGTATCAGAAATAGCTTGATAAGATCCTCTGGTTGATAGTGGCAATCCTCAGGAAGCTTTGTATTACAGGGTGCTCTATTTGCTGGCAGCAGTAAGGACTTCGGATTTTTTGGAGGAGCAAAAATATCTGGCATTTCTTCTTCCAAGGCTTTCGTGAAATCAAGATCAGGCTGTACTTTTTTCCTGTGTCGTTTAACCGCTACTGGTTGTTCTCCAGAAGGATCAATCTCGGAAACTGAAAAAACATATTGTTGCACTATGTTACCATACTATTGGCGCACAAGAAATGCACATCCACATACTGCTTGATGATATAACCACTGAAGCTGACCTTTAGTTTTTCGATACTTCCAATGATCAGGACCTGCCCATGCATTTTGTTTTGAAGTTAATCCAAGACTTAAGAACAAGTACTCATCAACGTCCTTAAGTCTCTCCTCACTATCACGCTCATCGAAAGCACCCGGTTCATTTTCCTACAAAATTTAAGAGATTATCAGGGAATAATGTGATTCTTCACTTATATACACAACTAGAGAGAGACCAACTGAACAAATATATACAATCAAAACCAATTATAGGGATAGTTTGTTCAAAAAACCTCGTGATAACTAGGAAAAGTTGAATTTTCACAGTTAAGGCCCTCCTCTACCATGCTTGTTTGGTCATCATGATCATAATCCCAGTTCCCAAAGTTCTCAGGTACATCACCATCAAATTCAACTTCATTATTATGGGCTGCGTCTACTTGCTCTGCTGATTCCTGAGAACAGGAATATATATCTACTGGCCTTCTGTTATCTTCATCAAATCGATTGACTATATTCCTGAGAGTTGGTGAAATTTCATCTTTCATTCGCATGTTCAATACCATTTGTTCAACATACTCTATAAAAGAACAAGAAAACATGACTGTTATTAAAACTGAATATTCTCATTTGAAAAAAATATATATGGGAAGACAAGAGTTACCAAGAAAGCAATACATTACCAAAAATGCAACTCACCACTAGCAAAAGAAAGATCGATCGTATCTGACTTATCATGTTGATTATCACATGACATGCACTTCGCTGGTACTTCCGACGAGTCAAAGAGAACTCTGCATCTACCATATACTCCAAGATTATTTATTAAAAGACCCCTAGCCCCGCCTTCATCAAATTGTGCAGATGTCTGATGATAGAGTGGATCAACTGCAAATGCAACTGAAAAATACAGACAAATTAATATTACAAATTTGACCTCGCATTTCACACTTTAAAACTATTTATACGGATAGCAAGGATGTGTGCTCACCATCAAACTTTTTTACATTTAGAGCCTCAAAAGACGACTCCAGCGTTGATAAAGGTGACTGCATTTATGAATTTACATCAGTACTTGGCATACAGAGTTTATTAAATCATTCGAGTGAGTCAGAGAACTATCAACCTTTTTCTCCATCTCTTTCTTGGAATGCGCCACATCTTGTCCATTGTCAACGGCGGCATCATCCGGACTAGTATCTAACATTACAACACAGCATCAAGAGAACTATACAACTTTACAAATTGACAGTTAAATTTCAAACTATAGATGAGCTGATTAAAGATAACTATACAACATAGTAATCACTCCTACAAACCGTTAACAATTAAATTGTTTCGGCGAAGAATTTCAAGTAAAAGACTTGAACAAGAAACGAAAGAACAAAGTATAGTGAACCAAACCTTGTTCGTCTTCTTGGCCTGCTCTATTCATTCCACCAAGGACCTTATATGCCTCAGAGTGTACTGAATCCACCCTTAATGAGTAAATTTTGACTCCAGCTTCAAGAGTGCAGCTTGCCTGCACAGGTAGAAAAGTGATACATATTTAATTGAACATGGCATATTCAATTAAATGAATGAACTTTTGGCCACACTTCAAAAACAAAAAAAAAATTACCAAATTCCGGTCTTCATAGATTTCAAGTTCCAAAACAAATCCGAAATATCCACAAACGACGAACAATACTTAAAAACAAACCCTATATATACCATACCATCAAAAGGCACAGCTTACCTTTTGAAAATTCGTCTCAGCGTCATTTTCCTCTTCAACCTTAATAATTTCCGTCAAATGGTCTATCAGATTGAGCTCCCATGTGTTCTTTTGATTAATTTTCTGCACCCAATAGATAAAACTCAAAATCTAATACAGTACAAAGGGTTATCAAAATTCAACCACAGAAAACCCTTTTGTTTCAATTATCATTAAGTCCTAAAACATGAAATACTTCAAAATTCACACTCATATTGACTTCTAACTTTTTGTTAAATCAAATTCATTTCAAAACTTTGAATGCTAAACTAACAGAGAGAGAGAGAGAGAGAGAGAGAGAGAGAGAGAGAGAGAGACATTTTCGCTAGCCAGTTTGATGCAATTCTGGAACAGCTCAAGAATCTGCTCCTTGCCGAGGCAGGGATCAGTATCCGCATCCAGTGGCGGTAAATTGAGCGCAATGGACTTTCTGCGAATCGCTGCGGCGCGTGCCGCACGTGCTTGTGCACGCTCGAGGTGGTCGTCGTTGGAGCCGAGGAAGAAGGGGCTGGTTGGAGACTGGAGACGAGCGGCCATCGGGAGCCTCTGCTTCTGGGCCGTTGGGTTAGGGCTTAGGGTATCGGCCATTGTAATCGAAAAATTGAATTGGGGAAAGTATGAGAATGGGAGAGTTGAGATGGGAACTGATAGACGAAGAGGTTTTCCCTCCACTTTGTGTTTGAAATTTTGTGGGGTTTTGACGTTAGAGATTTGTTATGGTGCTTATCATACATACAATACTATGACCATCCATTTTGTGCATCAATCTTTATTGCCTGAATATCACCCAACAAAAAAAAAAAGTTCTCACTTTGCAAAAACTGTTAATTTACATATTTTTTCCAACATTTTATTGTGGATGTTATAATAATAAAATTAGATGGTTCACAGACGCGATGCATGTGCAATGTGATAACTGTTTAAAAGACCTAAAAGTAAAATAGTGTACAACTTTCATTTCTTTACATTTTGCTCTAACTACTTCAGTAGCTAAATGTTTTAAGTGATGAGAATCAATAGGGTTGTTTAAGGTTATGTGTTTTAGAGCTTCATGGTTTTATTGAATTTAGTAGCCAAAGCAGACTTTTGGTTTTCTGCTATTCAAAATAAAAATAAAGGAATTTCAAATGAACAAACGAGTGAGCAACTACAACCATTTAAATAGTTAATGTGTTTTGCTTTGTACAATTGCATTGTATTGGCCACTACTTGTGATGCAAGAGTTGTGTCCATCTCTTTTTCCTTTCATAGAGGCCTCCTCATATCTGGTATTGCAGTTTAGTCACATGTTTGGTATTGCAGTAACATCATAAGGACCAATCAAACCTTCTCTCTGAATGCGCATGGCAGCTCCGACAGTGAATTTTCTTGCAAACAAGTAACATGAAGCGATTTTGGAACCGGTATGGCAGAACTCGGTGTGTTGTTCGTACTCATAGTATACATGGTCGATATCCTGTAAAAAACAAATATGATCAAAAAGTAAAAACAAGCAGACTGATATATCTTAGGCCACATGAAGTTTGGTGTTTGGATCCAATCCTCAGAAGGAAAACAAGATAGCTTAGGCCATTTAAATTGATCAAGTTATGCATGCAACGCAAGCAGGACAAGTTTTATAGACTTTGTTTCTTATGTGGGACAAAAGAACTACTCACCTTAATTTCTCTCATCTTCCAAGGGCTTGCATCTGCATAATCAAACGTTATAGGGTGCCAAGACCTTCTTTTCCTTAGTATCGTTGTCTGATTCCATGATGTGTAGGTCAATGTTCTTCGTTCAAGTTCGTCCTCAAGTCCACTTATCTTATCACAACACACAAATGCAGAATGTGAATGAAATTCCCTATAAACTTTCCAAAACAAAGCACATCTTAAAAGATTATAAGCATAGAAAACATTTGTTTATTAATATAGGAAAGAACAGAAAGCATCTGCATACTGCAAGTAGTGTCTGCACGTAATGTTCATCTGGGATACAATTGCGATACTTCGGAACTGTCTGCATTAGAAACTTGAAATCGAAATCATGTTCCTGTGGAAAATAACGAGCACATCACATGTATATACATACTCTTTGAAGGCCAGGGGCAAACCCTTTTTTCTTCCTTCTTTTTCATGTAAAGTTTAAAAGACAGTATTTCCTTACAAGAAGTTGCCGCCTCAAACTCAGGTCTATTGGTGGCCGCCGCTGAAAGTTGAGCAACATTTCAAGATGTCAAAAGAAACTTTCAGGCAGATGGAAATGGGACCAGATAAAGCCTCCCTGTATACCTTACAGAATTTCCTGAAAACGGGGAAAACGGTATGGTCGTCCACAACAATTTCTGCATGTCTTCTAACCAAAGTTATCCACTGAGAATGAGATCAACATGACGTTACATCAATAGGAGGAATCAATATCTTGAAAAAGAAAAGAAAAGAAAAGCAGAATTGTGTTCAGTTGAACTATATATTCCATCTCAAGGCAGCAAATATACATGGAAGATATAAAACCTGGGATCCTTTTCGCCATCTCTCCTCAGGTATAGTAGGTGACATCTTCGGTTCATAACGAAATCCTTTAACATCAATGAAGCTATAATGCACAGACTACAAAAAGTTCAGCTTCACTGTTTCTTCCATATGTGTAGGAAACACAAAAATTTAACCAGCACTTCTGAAAAACATTCATTCTGGTTATTGCTGATATCAAATACCTGTCCACAAAGCTTCTTGGAGAAGACATTACATAGTTGTAAATGTAACTGAAGTTGTACAGAGGCACACAGCTGCAGAATGAAGAAATAGACACAAAAAGTGCAAATTAGTTTGTTTTTTATATGGTTGGAAGAGGTCAATTGCATATATAAGAGGTGACGAGACCTACCTATCTGAGAGAAGGACAAATATTTGATTGGCTGGATCATACAGAGCTTCTTCAAGTAGTAAGCGCTCTGCTTCTATCATACTTGATTCTCCCCATACTACCTGCTGCAGCATAATTGCCAGTCAATCTTACTAAGAAACGAAGCAACGGAACCAATTAAAATATGAACAAATTGAAGCTGTACTTGTTCAAAGAAGCTAAAAGAACACCTGAATGCTGTTGTTCAACTGTCCACCGTAAAAGAAAGCAGACCTTGTGGTTGATTCATCAAATGCAAAACCAGGCTCTGAATGAATATAAATTGAGAACTTTGCCACATCGCCATTCTGCAAAGCTCACAACAAAGCATATCAAAACCTCTCTCCATGTTATGGTTCTGTTCACAACCGATTTCAAGCAAACCTTGAAGAAGGTGTCCCAGAGAAAATCAAGAGGAAGATCCCGATGAACGAGGAAGAGGAAGGCAACTTTCAGAGGGCCTTTAAACTGATCTTCATGAATGAAAGCATGAGACCTCCGAGACGTGAAGAATGATGGTGGGAGCTTGGACTGAGAATGGAACACTCTAAGGAAAGCCAATAGACATAGAAAGATACTGACAATGATGATGAGACCTGATACCAACCTCAAAAGTTGGCGCATGGGTGATGAAGCTCTCTTCTTTGTCATGGTTAGTTTTGTTCTCACTATTTTTTCGCAAGTGCCTCTGTGTATATGCGCAAGAGAGAGAGAGAGAGAGAGTTGAAGGAACCGTTCTCAACTTCGATGTTTGAAGGTGCTTGTGGATTGAAGAGTCAATTAATAAGGAAAGCTGAAACTGCACTTTGCATTTCTGTTTCTCCAAGTCTGTTATTTGTTAAGAACCCAGTGAAAATGAAACACGTCCCCTCCTCATTTAAGAACCATTTTTCAATCTTTAAAGCCTCTTCTTTTTATTTTATTATTTCTTTTCTTTCTTTAATTTAGTTTTTGGCAAACTCCAGCAGCATGAACTAGGCTTAAATAACCAAATTAATATCCGTTACAATTATCATAATCAGAAACTCAGCAACTGTATAGACTTGAAGATGCACTTCTGGCTTTATTCTCGTAGCTTAAAAATCATATTAAAGCCAAGCGGCCCATTAATCATATCAGCAAATTACAGAAAAACTGACAGTAAACGCCAGTAAAGAGAAGAAAACAATCTGGAACATCAAGAGTTTCACAAAGGGGTGTCTTTTATTTAGTGAAGGTAACTTCTGTATACACAACAACAATGTTCAAATCCGTCATAAAAATATAGTCCCCCACCCCAGCATCTAGGTGGAGGCCCCTATTCTGTAAATGCCTTTACATGCTTTCAACAATTAGGAACTCATCCTACATCAGCTCTTTCTCTGCCCTTGCCCTTGCCCTTGCCAAAACTACGGCCTCCAGTCAATAGCTAATCAGTATGAAGCTCAAAGAATCAAGTATCAGTCATAAGATATCTTATTTGGTGTTCCTCATTAGATATGCCACTATGCATCCCAGCACGGCACCAGCAACAACCTGAGACCAAACCAAATAAAAAATTTCATTGATACTTGAAGATTAAGATTATGAATATCTTACTAAAAAAGCCCCCCCTCAACAAAGCTATAATAATGGTTACCGTACAAGATAACTTAACTACAATGCATGTATGTCTAAACCTGTATTTCTCTGAAGCTAAACCTTGTAATTACTTCATGATGATAACAATGAAGTGGTCGATCCATAGTAACAATGGTCGATGAATAACATTCTAGCTTTGTCCAGTGGAGCCAGCATGACAGAGTAAGAGTATTGCATTTGCTAACTATACAAGCAAACAAGAAGCATCACCGGTTAGCTACTTTGCAACAAAATGTCAATGGTTAATGAACATGTTCACACGATTTACTACTCTGGCTAGGAAATGAATTATGGGGACAAAGAAAATTTCCTTTTCTAGTTTAATTAGCTAAGGACCATCTGCAGAATGGGATTACTAATTGCCCTGCTTCACGGCAACCACAATGAGCTTAAAATCAAAACATGAATATTAAGACAACATAATTTTCTAATAACATGGTGAGCTAATTTTCCGATTTACTCAAGTGATGTGCAGCAAGCAAGAGTAGTGCAACAAACCTGCAAGGGAGTATGTCCAAGTGAATCGCGCAGAGGTCTAACACTGGACAAAGGATGCTCCGGAGGAAGCTCGTACACAATTTGGTTCAGCAACTGCAACACCCATCAATGTGATAAATTAATCGTATCAAAAAACACACACGATAATCTTCTCTTACCAAACACCCAATATGTTGTCAAATTTCAAACTAGATCATATAAAATTGTAAGTCTAACAACATAACATGTACACAAAAACAGATTCCCATTTCTATATAAAACAAGCTCATAATTTTAAGCATCTACGTCCATGCAAGGAGATGTTACCTCGGCTTGACGACCAGCATGAAGTCTCACTCCGGAGGCATCATACATCACCTGGAAAATACTCAAAAATGTAAATATACGGTATCTTTTTTACTAAACATGATATGAAGGAAAAAAAAAAAGTAAAACTTTTCTACATACAATGCATGCTAAGACCAGAGCAATGGCGAAAGCGGGTCCTCCGGCGCCATCTTGAAGGCCAATGGCGACCGCCAGAGCCGTCACCGTGGCCGAATGCGACGACGGCATTCCGCCGGAATCGAGCATTCGCTTCGAATCCCATTTCCTTTCTTTGTACCTGAGAGCAGCAACCCAAAACACTCAATTTTCACGCCCTCATGACTCTAAAATTTCCAAATTTATTTTTCAAATTGAAAAGTTCAGCTGCGGAAAAAATTGAAATTGGAGGAATGAGAAACTGTACGGACCAGGAGGTGAAGAGCTTGAGGAACTGAGCGAGAGCGCAGGCGAGGAACGCAGAGATGAGAGGGAGGTTCGACGGGATCGTTGCAGTCGTCGACGGTGAATACGACGTCGTCGCATCCGCGGCCGTCATCACCTCGTCCGTTTTTCACTTCCAATTAATTAATTGCTGTTCTCTTTAGACTGAAAGACTGTAGAACCAGGAAAGGAAAGAAATAGGGAAGAGGAGGAGTATGAGTCGCCTGGGCCCACCAGCTGAATTCAACGGACCAATCATAGATGAGTTGGAATGGATTGTCTGTTTTGATTTTTCCTTCCATAAAATATTAAAAAATGCACCGCCCAATTGAGAAAAGAGTAGGGCCCCACGTGGGTCAGGGCAATTGATCATGGCCTATGCCATCTTGTCGTATCATATTTGTATACGGGTGCATTTTTGCTCACCACTTTAACCATAAGTGTACTCTCACTACCATCCTCAATGCTTGACACATGTCCATAAATATAACCATAGTTAACTTTTGCTTTGTATTTATGGAATCATGATTACATCTATGGACACGTGTCAAGCATTGAGGATGGTGGTGAGGGTACACCTATAATTAAAGTGGTAAGCAAAAATGCTCCCTTTGTATACCACCTCTCTTCATATTCATATATGACATCCTCATTATAGAATTTCGCACACAAAATAATATACAAATGTGCCTAGCATTGTTTTTGTTTTTCAAAAAAAAAAAAGGGCTCAAAATGCGGTGGATTTGGTAAGAAGCAAGAAATAAAGAATTTTAGAATTTGGGTTTCTCTCAGGAAGAAGCAAAGTTATTTGCATGACCAAGAAATTCTACTCACCATGGAACAGGACAAGTGTAAAAGTACAGGACCCTATTAAGAAATTGTTCTCCTATAATAAGAACAAGAAAACAAATCTCCTAATTGCAGCAACTACAAAATCTTCCAAGAATCATATACCCCTATTTGTTTTGCTCACAGTGAAACATCTTATAGCACTTTCTCTCTCTCTACAATTCCTTTTTCCATTTACAATGCCGTTGAACTTCAGAAATGTCAACCTCCTAAGCCAAAAATGTACAGAAAACAAAGAGTAATACAGACTCTTAAGGCCGGAGCATCTTCTGAGTGTCATCGGGTAGGGATGATGATGAAGAACCACTATATTTGCTGGGCAATGGTGTATTCCTTCGAGACTGGCGTTTCGTTGGCACGACTGCGGGCTCCTTCTCGCATTCTTCGGCGGCTGCTTCATTCTCACTGTCATCTTCACCCTTGAAAACTGGGTGGATGTATGCATTTTGAAGGAAGCCTTTCAAGTTCAGATTTGGCTCTTTTGCACGTTCTAATGTATCTTTCATCATTGCTTCCTGCAATTCACCATAGAAAAATATCAGCATCAGCATAATACAAACTCAAATGCCTTAAAAGAAAACTGAATTAAACGAATTCATCATAACACACCTGTAATGGATATCTGATGAAAGCAGGTTCGTAACAGCCTTTGCAAAATCTATGGAACCATATGGTCAACACTGGGAGTGTGATAAGCAGTGGCGTTGACTGAGCAGCTTCTTTAGTGCTTAACAACCCCATCAGTAGCAGTTGTGAGACGATAAGTGCTGTTATGATGCGCCCATGGACATCAGGCCAGAATGCTGCAGCGCTTTCATACTCTTGATTATAGACATTTATAATCTAGAAATATTGGAAAACAACTTCATTAGAATTTAGCAGAAGTACTAAGGGATTGCATAAGTGAATTCTTATTATTTGACCAACAAATAACAAAACCTTCTGTTAGAAAAATGTACAACTTACCTGATGACGATAAACAACATATGCCAGGCCAAAGAATACTATTATGAATGGAAGTAGGATTGGCGACACTACAGCATAAACAAGGCCAAGTAAGAAATAGAGTTGTATTTGAGGTTCACCGGTGTTGAAACCAAGGGTTCCTGGATCCATGGCGTCTTCCCTATCCTTTTCAGTCTTCACCAAGAAGAAATTTTTCAAGTGATAAATAATCAAAGGTTTCAACCTTAGAATCTCCCCAGCAACTCCGGCCCACCCATCGACCATTATATAAGTTATAAAGAAAGTTGCCTTCATTGGAATTGAAACACCAATTGTCTTTGGGATCCTGCACAAATAACCAATTAATCATATATATCAGAACTTTTTGTATCAAAGCAGCAATCTCAACATCGGATACAGAGCAGATGAAGCTTTTATTCATTGTAGACCCAATAAGCTGGATCAATATGTCAAAAATTGTATAGCTTCTTATAGGACTTTGTATATGTATGAAATGAAAAAAAAGCTTTCTTATATTATAAGTAAGTATCCCTCGTAGTACATCAAACTAAAATAAGTAAAGGTGCAGATACAAGAACATACTCATTAGCAGATTGGTGGATGAATTTATCTAGTTGTTGAAACGCAGTTCCAGTGATTATGCTCCCAAGAAATACATTGACAAATTGGAAAATATAATATCTAGTAGCCGATCTCCTCTCTAGAGCTGATATGCTATTAAATCCTTCAAATTTGGACATTATCATCAAAATAGTAGGAAGGAATATGAGAAAAATCTTCAAAGCAATTCCAGGTAGGAAACCTTGGATAAATGATTTTATAAATTTCCTGCATGACAAACAGGATGCTGTTAGTGCATGCTGATGGTAGGAAAAGTAATTAAGTGTTGAGCATCCAGCCCGGAACATTCAAATGAACGTATATAAAAAGAAAATACTTACACTTCAATAACAGTCTTTAGGAAGGGGGCTGCTTTCTCAATACCCTCAATGTTTGCAAGGGATTGTACAAATGCAATGGGTATCATAAAAAAGAAGGTGAGGAAGAAGAAAGCAACGGCAACTACAAGCCTCCTGATTGTCAATGAAACATAGGGGATTGCTAGGTTATCCCAACAAATATCACGGGGTTCCGGAGCCCACTCAGTCAACCATATAGTTGGGTTTCTAGATTGTTGAGTTTGTGCACAAACAGCGGCATTCCATCGAGTTCTGAAGGAAACAAATGCTGCTGGCATGATAGATTTAGGGTTGCTTGTAATCTTATCTCTCTCTGAAGATATCTGTCAAAAGTAAATTTGAAAAAGAAAGAACGTGAGTAATCACATGCTTCAGTAAATACACAATTCAACCCCAGCATTCCACTTAAAATGCTAGGAGCAAGCACTATGTGAGCTGAAAAGCCTCTCTAGTCTGATATTTGTGCAATAAAATGGTTTTTAAAATAATTGATCTATTAAAGAAATGGCTTTAAAGTACAAGGGAATGTGCTAGAGAAACAAAAATACAATCTAAAATCTAATAAAAAAGCCTCCGAAGACCAAAGGAATAACCGAAGTATGCACAATGACAGAAAGAACAATAAGTAGCAAATCAGGAGTTGAGCTCACTCCAGAGCTTTCCTTGTCTTCAGTATCAGATAGAGGCAACATAGAGAAAGTGAGGTGGAATCATTTTCAAAATAGTTAAGTGCTACTTACTTCTTTTAATAGCCTCTCAATCTCAGATGTATAGAAATCAATAGCATCCACCCGATTACCCCAAAGACCAAGAAATCCAGTCTGCTCACAAGACATTGTTAATAGATATGAGAAATAGCATGATGAAAAGAAAAGGAAAGGAAAGAAAAAGAAGAATGCATTACCTTCTTAGATGGTCTTTTGGATGGATTTCTAGACAATTTAAGTTGATAGTAGTCAAGCCAATTCTGTAACTTCTTCTTCTCATTGACTAATTTAGAAAGTTTGTTTGCATTGTAAACAACCTGCACGCAAATACTTCAGCAAGAAATTAAAAACAAAACCAGAAACATCGAAGAAGAGCAGGTTGTGTAAGTGGCTAGTGTAATGTAAGTATAGTATTTATGAATGTAAGGGAAAGCAATAGGATCAAACCTGATGAGTGAGATAGTGGTCTGGATGGTTGACCAGAAAAAAATGTTCCACAAGCTGACTAACTGTTTCATCAGGATCTGGTGGCACGTTTCTAACCAGTACCTACCAAATTTATATATTTCACAACATTTAAGATCAAGAAAAGTAAAAAAAAATGTTTAAAGCACACCAATTTGATAGAATTCCCACTCAAAATAGTCTAACTGGATAGTACATTGCAGTAAGGATATATATCATGTAGTGATGACATGTGTAGACAAAAGTAAAGATCCTAGTCTGTACAAATACAGAGAAAATATTGGTCTAAATTGATGAGTAAAACAAGACTTTTGTATGCAAACATACCGAACACTTAACTCCTGGTAATATCAACTCATAATTTATGTCTTGAAACAGCATAAAGAAATTAAGTGCAAGTAGAAACTTACATGATAAGACTGAGTAAAAGTTCAATTTAACGATATAAATTTAACCCCTTGACCCCAGCCTGCCCTAGTAGGTCCTCAATATTACGCTTCACTGTCAATTTATTTATCATATAAGCTTAAGAATACATCAAGTTGATCTTACTGTGAACTGATCAGGGCGCCTATGGTCTGATGCAAGAAAATGCAACCTCATTGATGCAACCTTCTCATACTCCCTTTTCAATACATAGCATGTCCACAATGTAAAAGCATAAGCCATTACTATATGAGTCCAAAATCTGCATCAAAAGTTAAATAATCATCAGAAGGTAAAATCCTTGGATTTTAAACAAGTTTCCATGCACAGTAACATCTAACTGAGTCCCAAGTCTGCATCAAATGTAAATAATCATCCGAAGTTGGATTTTCATACTCAATTCATGAAAATGTACACAGATCAATATTTTAATAATTATTTGACAGAGCTTCTTTGTATAATCCATTTCTGAAATTCAGGGGAAAAACAATAATTCCTTTGGGCTTCATTATTTTTATCTTATTTTGATTGGCAAAAACTCGGCAGGTTCACATTAATATTTTCATATTAGTTTAAAAGCTAATTCTTCTCAATTTTAGACAAACTAAGAAGTTCATAACTAAAAGTTGAACACACACATACACTTCCCGCGCACACTTGAGGAAAAAATAGCAAAACTTATAAATAAATAAAAAGTTGTGCAATATTAGAGATTAGTGAAGAATGTATTGCATACCTACTTGATCCAACAGGAACGTTTGAAATAGAGAGCTCATCTATGTTGCTGAAAACTACATTTGAATTCTTTAGGGTGCTATTGGTC